CTTTTAAAGGGAGGAAATCCTGTCCTTTGCAAGAACATGGATGAACCTGGAGGACATTATGTTAAGTGAAAGAGGCCAGACTCAGAAAAACAAATACTGCATGATCTCACTTAGTTGTAGAATCTAAGAAGTTGAACTCATAGAAGCAGAGAGTAGAATGGTAGTTACCAGGGGCTGGGGTTGGGGAGATGTTGGTCAGAAGATACAAAATTTCAGTTACATAGGAGGAATAAATTCAAGAGATCTATTGTACAACATAGTGACTATAGTTAGTAACAATGAATTATAGTTTTGAAAATTGCTAAGCAAATAGATTTTAAAGTGTTCTTGCCATAAAAAATGGTAAGTGTGTGAATTGTGAGCATATGTTAATTTGCTCAATTTAGCCATTCCACAGTCTATACACATTTTAAAACATCATGTTGTACATGATAAATATATATAATTTTTGGCAATTAAAATTAATTTTATAAAAGAAAAGTATATTTTAGCCCTATAATCCAAAAATTCCAATTATAAATGTAACCTAGAGAAACCTTACTGTATGTACAAGGCAGATCATGGCCACATTGTATCTAAGTGTGATTTTAAAAAGGGAAATTGAAGACTAAGTTGTAGTATAATACTAGAATGGAAATTTGCACGATAGTAAGAAAAATTACCTAGACCTTGATGCATATCAATAGGAATAGATCTCAAAAATGCAATGTTGATTCAAAAACGAATTACAGAATAATTTGTACATTTGGAAACTGGTTGCCTAAATTTACAAATAAAAATTCAAAAAAAAAATCTATACAGTAATCTCCCCTATCCATTTTGCTTTGTGAAGTTTCAGTTTATGCATGGTCAACCATGGAGTGAAAATATTCAATGGAAAATTCCAGAAATTAGCAATTTATAAGTTTTAAATTCTACACTGTTCTGAGTAGCATAATGAAATCTCACGCCATTCCACTCAATCCCACCCAGGATGTGAATCATCCCTTTGCTCAGCACATCTATGAAGTTGATGCTACCCGCACATTAGTCACTTAGTAGCTGTCTCTGTGATCAGATCCACCGTGGCAGTGCTTGTGTTGAAGTAATCCTTAGTTTACTTAACAATGACCCCAAAAAGTACAAAAGTAGCGATGCTGGTATATTGGCATAGTTGTTCTATTTTACTGTTGTTAATCTCTTACTGGGCCTAATTTATAAATTAAACTTTATCATAGGTATGTATGTACAAGAAAAAACATAGTATGTATAGGGTGCTGTACTATCTGTGGTTTCAGACATCCACTGGGGGTCTTAGAACATATGCTCTGAGGGCCTACTTATTTATTAGCTTGCTAGAGTTACCATAATAAAATACTGCAGACTGGATGACTTAAATGACACAAATTTATTTTCTCATAGTTCTGGAGGCTGGAAGTTTGGTTTTCCTTGAGGCTTTTCTTTTTGCCTTGTAAATAGCCACCTTCTCTCTGTGACCTCACGTGGGTTTTTTCCTGTGCATATGCATCCCTGATGTCTCCCTGTGTGTACAAATTTCCTCTTCTTGGCCAGGCACAGTGTTTCAAACCTGTAATCTCAGCACTTTGGGAGGCTGAGATGGGAAGATTGCTTGAGGCCAGGAGTTCAAGACTAGCCTGGGCAACATAGATAAACCTTGTCTCTAAAACCATAAAAAAAAAATTGTTTGGGCATGGTGATTCAAGCCTGCAATTCCAGCTACTAGGGAGGCTGAGGCAGGAGGATCGCTTAGGCCAGGAGTTCCAGTCTGAGTGGCAGAGCAAGGCCCTGTCTCTAGTTTAAAAAGAAAAAAAATTCTCTTGTTATAAGGCCACCAGTTGGATTGGATTAGGGCTCACCCAAACAGCCTCATTTTAACTTAATCACCTCTTTAGAGGCTCTATCTCCAAATACAATCATATTCTGAGGTTCAGGGATTAGGACTTCAACACAGGAATGTTGGGGGGAACACACATTATCACCCTATAATGTCACCAGCTTAGCCTATGACATCATTCCAGTCTGACCTCATTTTATCTGCAGCAACCCCATTTCCAAATCAGGTACTGGGAATTAGGACTTCAATATATGTTTTGGGAGGACACAGTACAACCCATAAGACCCAACAATGAGGAAACTCATCATTTCACCAACAGGAATTCAGAGGTAGGGTAACCCCCAAGAGAGATTAATTCTGTGACTTGGTTAAGCCACTGAGAATTCTGATCTCCCCATCTTTCTGCTCTGCTCTCCTTAACACTGGCTGCATTTTAAGACTGCTGTCCCTTCGGTTCTCAAGAAGACTCCACTGGTCCCAGGAGTCACTTTCAGAGGGAACAGGGACTTTCTCATACCTTTTTGTAAGAGTAAGGAAACCTTTCTCAGCAGCCCTGACTGCCTCCCGCATCCAACCCCAGACAGGGCCACATGCCACCCTAATTCATTCTCGGTTCTGGGTAGCGGGGTTGCCCTTATTGGCTTTGATGAGTGGTCACCCCCGTGAGGAGCCAGGATGAGCTCCTAAAGCACATGGCTGTGTAGAGGAGGTGTGGGGACTTGGGCAAAGTAGGGACTCTGCCAGAAAGGAAGAAGTAGAGGCACAAGTGTCAGGTGGCACCTGGCAATGTCTGCTACATCTGCTTTATCTATTTGGAAATCTCTCTTTTTGTTCAACCTACCGAGAAGTCAGCTACCTGCCAATATGATCCAGTCATGGAAAGCTGAGAACTCATAATCTACAGAAAAATATTGAAGACCTAAAAACGGCTATCGCAAGTTGATGCACCTTTTTATTGATAATATCTTTTATTCAACAGAAAACCTGTGAGGACTTTGTAGTCTAACTTTACACACAGTTGTTCCAGATGTGGTTATTTGATTAACAGCTTCTTAACATAGTAGAAAGGACCATAGCGAGTCAGTAATAAAAACAGATAGTAATATTCTCTTACATGTCAGACCCTTTCTACTTCTGTCCATAGATTAACTAATTTTAATCCTTACAACAACTTTCTAAGGCTTGGACTGTTACTAGTCCTTTTTTAAATATGGAGAAATAGAGACACAGAGAGATAAGAAATGTAGCCACACTTACACTGGTAGCAACCATAGGACAACCAATGGTTCTGGTTTTCTGGGGAGTGAGGGAGTTTCTGGAACACTGACTTGGAATTTTAAAACCATGAAATCCCAGACAAACTAAAAAGAGTTGGTCACACTAAAACCAACAAAGCAGGATTCAAACCTAGGCAGCCTGGCTCAGACTCTGGACAGGCTTGGGTGTGATGGCATTATCCAATGCTCTCCTCAAGCTACGATGTCTGAACTCTGCCAATTCAAAACTAGGTGGAATCTCCCCTACTGGGTGTTAACTTGTACTAAAAATTCTTTGGTTCTCAATTCTAAACTGACTATGTTGGGTCAGATATAAAATTTAGGAATGCACCTCTCTCTGACTTTTGTCTCATTCTACATTTTTCCCTCAGACAGTTCTGGTTCATACATCCGAGACAACTCGTCTTAGATATTTCATGGACCTGTTGCTTGAGAAAGGAAGACCAGTAATGCTGGTGGGCAATGCGGGAGTGGGAAAAACAGTCTTTGTAGCTGACACACTGGCAAGGCTCTCTGAGGATTACATAGTATCCCGTGTGCCTTTCAACTACTACACAACGTCCGCGTCTCTGCAAAGTAAGTGCTTCTCCTGTTTGTATTCTAGAAACGAGAGAGCAAAAACTGTCAAGGCTGGGCTAATACCTTTCCCTAGGATTTAGAGATTTTGCGTAGGCCTCAGATAAATTTTTACTCATCATCCTGGATAAATATACTTGGTTTAAATATTGTTGTAGTTGTGGCTCTTTATATCACTCATGATTTTATTTGGGTTATTACTCTTCAGAACAGCAAGAATTTTTATTAATGGTGTTAATCGTGTTGCCTCAAAACCATTTGGTTACCTTTAGTTAATTGCATGTAGCCCTGGCAATTTAAGAATATGCTCAAGGAAGGATGCTCTAGTTACTTTTTCAAGTAAGGGGTTAACTTGGGAGAAATGTATTAAAACTGTATTGAGGAAATGACAGACCATGAGCCATTAACTAAATCTTAATAGAACTATGAGAATAATTTTGAACTATCGAATAACTATCTCATTGTAATAAAGAGAACCACACAGACTTCGGGCATCCTAGAGTTAGGAAGGGCAAGCAAAGTAGGCCTGGAAAGTAGAAGGGAGGTGATAACAAGCTAATGAAGGCCTGTCACTGTGCAATAGTGGAACGGGGTTCCATTGTGGGGGCAGCAAAACCCTCTATTGTCTAGTCGTTTATTAAAACTGTTGAGTTGCCCTAAATTTGGGTTCGTGGGGTGTATATATGTGTACGTGTGTGTTATTGTTTTCTTAGCTATATCACTGAAGACTTAACAATAAATTTTCTCATCCACCGACATCAGTAACTCAGCCAATAGTGATTTTTCTGTAATCTCTTTCTTAATCAGTTTGGATTACTTGTCTTTATGAATGGAACAGTCGGAAAACCATCTCAGCATTATTTCATTCATTTCTTCATCAAATACATATTATTTATCTACTTTTTCTTAGGCATTGAACAGGGTTTATGATTTTCATTCATAGTGATGAAGAAAAGACTCCCTTTATGACTTATGAATGAAAGATGAGGCTACAATTCAGTAGCTGAACAAATTGCTTGACTATGATGGGAGTGCATTTTTCTAATTCCTAAAAGGAATACAGGCATGAGTAAGATTTAGTGATGGCCTGTTAGCATTGAAAGAGCTGTAGGTGTCAGTGTACTTTGAAAGAAAGTTAGGATTTCAAACATTTGAGATGGTGATAAATTGGTCAAGAAGGAGATTGGGATAGAAGGATTAGCTTAAGCAAAGACATGGAAGAGAGAAAACTGTGGGACACATTCAGTGAGTTGAATCTCTACGAAGACTGAGGAATAGTGATCAGGTAGAAGACGGGGAAAAGGCTGAGGTGCTGGGTTGGGGTTATATTGCAGTTAGGGTGACCAACTGTCCAGTCTGCCAAAGGCGAAGGAGTTTTCTGAGATGTGGGACTTTTAGTGTTAAAACTTGGACATCCCCAGGCCACCTGGGATAGTTGATCACACTAATTGTAGGGAATGCTGAGATACAAGCTGAGGGGACTGTATGTCATTTGGTAGGAAGTGGTGAGCCACCTTGCTTGATGGGGAGCAAGGAACTGGGAAGATACGAGCTGTCTTTTGGGGACAGAGATCTGAGGTGGGGAGACCAGTCCCCAAGTAGTACACTAGCTGAGTGTAATGTGGCCCTGAACTAAAGCTGTAGAAGGGGAGGTGGCAAGTTGGGAACATAAGCAAATGACATGAGGTACCACTTACAGACTGTGGTTGGGCGCACAGGGAGCTGGGTGTAGAGTCGAGATTCCTGGGAGTCCTTACGTCTGGCTGACTGGGAGAGCATTACCTCCATAAGCAGGAGCACAGAGGCAAATGGAAAGAGGTGGATTGTGAGTGGGGAAGACATCGTGCTCAACGGAGTTTGGAAAGAAGTGGATTTAGTGTTGGCCAAACGTCTGGGTGCCAGTGGCTAATAGGAGCTGATGTCCAGCAAGCATTTGGAAATGTGGGTCTGCTGCTTAGAAAAGTGTTTACTTATTCATCATACACCTCTTTGTTCATTCATCCCTTTATTCATTGGTTCATTTAACAAATTACTTATTTGTTGTGGTCAAAAATGCAGCAATGAATATGGGGTAGGTCCTTGGCCTCAAGGTATTTATAGTCTGGAGAGTCAATAAGTAAGTAGCTACTATGTCTCAGATATACACTGTTCAGTGTTTTCTACACCATGACTCTCTCTCACACATATCAACACAAAGTCATGTAGGCACATGAAGAAATGTAACTTTATGTATACACAGATAGTGTCTACGTACGCTTTCCCTTGTGCTTCTGCTCTCCAGTGGCCTAAGAAGAGAGGCATGGGGGGCTTTCTTGAGCTGCTCCAAGATATTCCTGCCAGAGCAATGGAGAAGGACCAGGAGGCCAGGCCGTGGCTGGACTAGCAGGGGGCATAAATCAGAGCAGGTACAGAGGAGGAAAGCACTCAGATGAGCGATGGCATTGTCTCAGTTGTGATGGGCAGTGTGATGTCGTGCTGCATAGGTTGAGGTCTCCAGAGAAGAAGAGGTGGAGTGACCTGTGGCAACAGGAGGGAGGTTGGCAGGAGAGCATGACATAGAAGGAGGTGGCCGGAGACATATCGCTGTTGTCTTAACCTGTGAACAGGTGACACCCGAAGCCACAGCATGGCTGTAATCAACAGAAGAGAGGAAGAATTAAGGAAAAAAGGGCTAAGGACATAAAGTTTACATTCTATCAGTGATTGGTGGACATAATTATATATTTATTTATTTCAGAAATTCTTGAGAAACCTCTGGAGAAAAAAGCTGGTCGTAACTACGGTCCAGGAGGAAACAAAAAGTTGGTTTATTTTATTGATGACATGAACATGCCTGAAGTGGACTTATATGGCACTGTTCAGCCTCACACCCTGATCCGACAGCACATTGATTATGGACATTGGTAAGCAATTCCCTGTATTTTATTCTCCACCAAAATTTGATAATCATTATTATTATGGATAAACATTTTTAAATGGAATTATCCCCAATTTCTTATTCTTCTGAGGAACATTTTCTGTAATACCTTTTTGGGTTTACTGTGCTGTGTATCCCTTTTCCTCATGGTAAATGGAATAGTTTCCCTTGTGAATTTGGAAGATTGGATTGAAAAGTATCCTAGAAACATGAAGACTGTCCAGAAATCAGGTCCTCTTTAAGAATCAGCTCACTCTAAATTATTTAAGAGAAGCTTGACCTTATTCTGGAGAATGTAAATATTTGGAAATATCTAGGCACTGCAGTCTGCAGTCCCTGACATGAACTGCAGGGAGAGTCCCAGCCTGTCCATGGAGTCTTGCTGTGGGGATATGATAGTTTCTAGCCAGAAATAGAGTTCCATGACAATAAGCAGTGATCATTTATATTGATTCAGCTCCAGATCTTGATTTTGGCATCAAAAGAGCTATGTCACCTTTGGTTTTCTGAGCTTCAGTTTTGATGTCTCTCAGGTGAGGCTAGCAAGGTCAACCTCAACAGAGTGATTGCAAAGATAAGGAGACAATTTGTGATAAAGTCCTTTATGAACTGGTAGATTCTGTTGTTTTGTCATCTCCAAGTTTGGGATTTAAGGTTCTATTTTCTGTCTTTCAGGTATGATAGACAGAAGGTGATGCTTAAAGAAATCCACAACTGTCAGTATGTCGCCTGCATGAACCCAATGGTGGGCAGTTTCACGGTCAATCCTAGACTACAGGTAGGGTATTGAATACTGCTCTCAAAGATGGTAGGTCTTGATTCATGGTGCTTGTGAGTACAAATTGAGATTCCTTTGGGACATTTGGTTAAGCACATAAGATTTTTTGTTTAATTAGTAGACTTCATTTTTTTAGTTCAGTCTTAAGTTTACAGTAAAATGAGCTGAAAGTATAGAGACTTCGTGTATATTCTCTCACTCCCCCGACTTCATTTTATCCTGATGTTAACATCTTGTATCTGTTATAATTGATGAGCCAATATTGGTTCCTTATTATTAACTAAAGTCCAGAGATCGCATTAAAGTTCATTCTTTGTATTGTACATTGTATGGGTTTTGACGGATGTATAATGGTAAGTATCTGCCACTATGATATCACACAGAATAGTTTCACTGCCACCAAAATCCCTGTGCTCTGCCTGTTTCTCTCTCTCCCTCTCCCTCTCCTCTGTATCCCTGGCAACAACTGATCTTTTGTTTTTCAAATTTTTTTTATTGTGGTAAAATATGTGTTACATATAATTCACCACCTTAACCGTTTTAGGTGTACCATTCGGTGGTATTAAATACATTCATAACGTTGTGCAACCATCACCACCATCCACATCCAGAACTCTTTTCACATTGTGAAACTGAAACTGTGTAACCCATTAGCAATAACTTCCCATTCTCTCTTGCCCCCACCCCTGGCAACCATCATTCTGCTTTCTTTATGATTTTGACTGCTCCAAGTACCTCATGTAAGTGGAATCATACAGTATTATTCTTTTTGTGACTGGCTTATTTCGCTGAGAATAATGTTCTCAAGGTTCATCCATGGTGTCGTATATTTAAGAATTTATTTCCTATTTAAGATTGAATCATATTCTATTACATGTATGTACCACATTTTCCTTAGCCATTCATTCATTGATGTACACATGGGTCGCTTCTGCATTTTAGCTAATGTGAATAATACTACTGTGAACATGAGTGTACAAATATCTCTTTGAGACCCTGCTTTCAATTCTTTTGGGTATATACCCAGAGTGTAATTATTGCATCATATGGAAATTCTATTTTTAATTTTTTGAGGAACCACCATACTATTTTCCATGACAGTTGTACAATATTTTATTCCCATCAACAATTCACAAAGGGTTCCAGTTTCTCCACATCCTTGCAAACATTTATTTTCTGTTTTTGTTTTTGGTAGTAGTCATGCTAATGGGTATGAGGTGGTATCTCATTGTAGTTTTGATTTGCATCTTCCTAATGAGTAGTGATGTTGAACATCTTTTTATGTGCTTATTGGCCATTTTTATATCTTCTTTGGAGAAATGTCTATTCAAGTCTTTTGCCCATTTTATTTGTTTTTGTTGTTGTTGTTGAGACAGGGTCTTGATCTGTTGCCCAGTCTGAAGTGCAGTGTTACAATCATAGCTCACTGCAGCCTCAAACTCCTGAGCTCACCCCCCTGAGTAGCTAGGACTGTAGGTGTACACCATTATGCCTGGCTAATTTTTCTTACTTTTTGGAGATATGGGGTCTTACTATGTTGCCTAGACTTGTCTCAAACTCCTGGCCTCCAACAATCCTCCTACCTCAGCCTCCCAAAGTGCTGAAATTACAGGTGTAAGCCACCACATCCAGCCCTTTTGACCATTTTTGAATTGGGTTTTTTTGTTGAGTTTTAAGAGTTCTTTATGTATTCTGGACAGTGTACTAATTTTTTTACTATCTTCATAACTGCCTTTTTCAGAATGTCCTAGTTGGGATCATACATGTGTAACCTTTTCAGATTGGCATTTTTAACTTAGCTTATTAATATGTATTTAAGGTTCCTCCATGTCTTTTCATGGCTTAATAGCTCATTTCTTTTTATCTCTGAATAATAGTCATTGTATAAACGTACCACAGTTTGTTTATCCACTCACTTATTGAAGGACACCTTGGTTGCATTCAAGTTTTGGCAATTATGAGTGAAGCTGCTATAAACATTTGTGTGTAGGGTTTTGTGTGCACATATAAGCTTTTTAATAATAATAACAACAATAGCACCACCAACATACAGAAACAGCATATGGTGATTGCTCATCTGGAACCAGCTGGGAGTGAGCTAGGTGGCTGCTGATCTTGGCCGGGCTTGTTTGTGAATGCCTGGGGCTGGGCTAACCTAGCGTGGCTTTGGCTGAGTGATTGGGACAGTGGGGCTCTGTTTTATGTGTCTCTCATCCTTTAGCAACTTGTAGAGTTCATGACAAAGTCAAAAGTTTAACAGAGCAAGTGCAAACACACAAGCTTCCGACATAACTAGGACACTGTCACTTCCCCCTCATTCTGTTGGCTCAAGCAAGACACAGGGTGAAGCCCAGAATCAGGGTGGAAGGCACTAAAATGTTATGAGGCAGTGGGCCTGGATACAGGGAGGAGTGAAAAAAATCAGGCCATGTTTTACAATTTTCTGGTACAATTATAATCCTTATTTTATATTATTATATTTGTTTTTCTTTTCAGAGACATTTCACAGTGTTTGCATTCAATTTTCCATCCTTGGATGCACTAAACACCATCTATGGCCAAATCTTCAGTTTCCACTTCCAACAGCAAGCATGTGGTCCATCAGTCCTCAGGAGTGGCCCCGCTTTGATCCAGGCAACAATAGCATTCCATGAGATGATGACACGTAGCTTTTTACCCACCGCTATTAAATTCCACTACATCTTTAATCTGAGAGACCTATCCAACATCTTCCAGGTACCTTGACTGCTCTGCATTATGCCTCTTGAGTAGAGGAATAATTGTAGTACTATTAATGGTGTTCATTAATACGACTTAGCTTAACTTACATACTCTTACATGCATTCTTTCATTTTATACTCATAAACTTCTCTATGAGGTAAATATGGCAGGTTTATTATTCCCATTTTATCAACAAGAGTTGTGGTTCTCCTCAGGTCATATAGTGTCTTCATCCATTTGTGCTGCTATAACAAAATACCTAAGACTAGGTAATTCATAAATAATGGAAATTTATTTCTCACGGTTCTGGAGGAAGGTTTGGTGTCTGGTAAGGGCCTGGTCTCTGCTTCCAATATGGCGCCTTGAGTGCTGCATCCTCCCATGGCAAAGGGACAGAAGGCAAAAGGGACAAATGACTAGCACCTCTTTTATAGGGTCACATCACCCTCATGACTTAATCACCTCCTGAAGGCCCCATCTCTTAACACTATGACATTGCGAATAAGTTTGAGCACTTACGTTGCGGGGCCCATTCAGATCATGGCACATGGTAACTTAGCAATGGAAGCAAAGGTAGAAGTCTAGACTCTCTCAAGAGATTGAGTGAGTGATTGAGTCAGTGAGTGCTTATTTTATTTGAGTGTCAAGTAATAGGGATAATTGGTCATGTTCTTGCATAAAACATTTGTGTGATTTTCATACATATGTTAATAGAAATTATAATTTTTTAAATTGCTAGATCATTTTAATCTGACATTGAAAACTACCCTGCTTACCTGGTAAAAGGATAATGTTTATATATTTGATTTAGAAAGAAAATTCTGAAGAGGGAATTGAAAATCTGGAATTTTTTAAAAATCCAACTAATATGGTCTACCCTGTCCAGTAAAAGTAGGTAGAAAGTTATTTATGATTTAAAGTTCTTTCGTGAGAGAGATAGTGTATGGTTAAGTATGAAAACTTCATGGAATTTCTTTACATTTTTTATAACCCACTTTTCAAAATCACTCCACAACTTCCCCAAAACCGTAACACAACATTAGACAATAGCTTCTTAAGAGTATGGACCATTTCTTTTTATGCCTATATTGTACCTGCCAGAAAGACTATGCTTAATAAAGTGCTGTTTAAAAGAAAAAGGGAGAGAGGCCATAGACGAAATGGGACGCGAGACCCACCTGCTCCCTTTTTGTACCCAGTGTGTCAGTGGCACCTGATGCCACCAAGTAATTCTTCAGCCTTTTGCAGGTTAATTCTCCGCAACTCCCTTGCTGTTCTCCTTTGATTCCAGGACAGGCCAACTGTCTCCGTGAGGAGCGGGTGTATATGAATCCAAGATAGCGAAGGCAGTGTTGAGTGGGTGTGGGAGTCACAGTGTTTTGGCACTAGACAGGCTCTACCCACAAACTGCAAATTTGGGCAATTTACTTTTGGTTTCATATTCTTCATCTGTGAAGTGAAGGGGTTAGACTGATGGATATCAATGGATTTTAGGTAAAAAGGTTATGATTTTGTGGCTTTCGTGTTAGCCGTTTGTACTTTAGTTTTGTAAACTTAGTCTAGTGGAGGGACTCAGTAACTCAGGCACAAGTACTCGATTGGGGTATTTTAGCTCCTGGGCTGGCTCTTGAAATATGGTCTTAGATGCATTCCTAAAAATGGATATAATGAAATTAAAATTTTACAATGTCACTTATCAGAGGGTAAACCTCTTTTTATACACGTATGCATGCACACACACACATTACCATTTATATTTCTTTTAACTTAATTTCCTAAATTTGGATTATAGTATAAAAATGTTTAAGAAAAACTTATTTGGAATGTCATCAGCTTCTGAATGAATTCTTGCCTTGTAGGGAATTTTATTTGCTTCTCCTGAGTGTTTAAAAGGTCCAAATGATTTAATACGCCTGTGGCTTCACGAATCTTCCCGTGTTTATGGAGACAAACTGATAGACACAGAAGATTGTGATTTGTTTCAGAAAAAAATACTGGAAACTGCTTATAAATATTTTGAAGTAAGTGTATGAATGTCACAGGTCACTGGTGCCGAAGTTAGGTTAGGGTGCGAGCAAAGTGTACAAGGGCTTCTTACCTTGCCGCAACCGCTGTGAGTCCAGAATACTTGGTCTGTGCTTGGGAACATGCCACCTACTTACTCACAGTTCAGTCTGTAATCTCTCCCTTTAATAGGCCACTCTGCCCCCAGATGAAGCTTTCTGGCTGGTTGACACACCATGTTTTTCTGTTTCTCTCCTGCAGGGTGTAGACAGTCACGTGCTGCTTCAACAGCCCCTCATTTATTGCCACTTTGCTAGTGGCAGGGAGGACCCACGTTACATGCCAGTGAAGGACTGGGAAGTGCTAAAGACGATTCTTACAGAAACCTTAGACAGCTACAACGAACTAAATGCTACCATGCACCTGGTTTTATTCGAAGATGCCATGCAACATGTGTGAGTTGACTATTCATGATGCTTTTTCACCAAAGTAAGGACGACTGGTATCCACAATTATTATTTTTCAGTAGATCATATGGAGTGCTCTGAACTCTACCAGTTCTTATACGTTGTTTGTCATATAATATAAAAAGATTAAATGGTTGCTATTAATTACATCACAATTTAATAATGTCTTACATAGACATACTATTTTCCAAAGTACCATTACATCCATTATTTCACTTAAATATTAAGAAAGAGGAACATAAATGACTTGTTCTAAATCACATAGTTTGTAAGTTGCAGAGACAGGGATCAAACTGATTTTCATTGATTAAGCAGGCTTTGTTGAGTGTCTACCGAGTGCCAGATAGGAACATTGCCAGCCTTTTTGGTACCTTTGGGCAAATTAGAAGAAAGGGGAAGGAAGAAACATGTTTTCTTGGCAGAAAATTAGAAAAAAGTACTTGTCCTCAGGTAGAGCTTGGCTGACAAGGCTCTTGCTCACCCCCTAGACCGGACACCTTGTGTAGTGTGCAGATCATGCAATCATCTGCAGCCCACCTCCAACTGGACATTGTTCTGGATGCTGGGATATTGCAGCAAATGACACAGTCCAGTCCCTTCTCTAATCAACCTTATGTGTTAGTGATGTACATGTTATAAGAACATAAACAGATAAGCAAGCCAATAAGCAAGAAAAATGTCAGAAAGTGATGTGTCATGCTGAGGATAAAATAGGTTGATTCAGAGAAATAAACTGTGTGGATTCCAAGGAAGGACTGGGCATCTGTATGAGGAGGTGACATTTAAAGTGAGACCTAAATGATAAGAGCTAGGTATGGAAAGATACGGAGGAAGCACATTCTAGACAGAGGGCAGATTCCATGTGGCCCCGAGGCAGGAATATTTGAGAAGCAGAAAAGAGGATCAAGTTAGCCACAGCACAGAGGAAAATATGACAGGGACAGAGAGGCAGGAACTGACCTTCCTTAGGCAGGATGTTTCCTTTTAAGCAGGGTAAAGAGTCTTGATTTTGTTCTAAGCACAGTGAGGAGCTGTCACATGGATTTTAGCATGGGGATGGTGTGGTGTGTTGTACAGTCTAAACAGCTCGCTGTTGCCTCTGCTGTGTAGAAAGTCGATCGCATCTTTGCATCCAATACGCTCTCCAGTCCGAGTTACCATCACTTCTCATGGGTCTTTGTAATAAGTGAAAATGGGCAAAGATTTTTTAAAAGGAAAAAGACAAATCATCATTAAAAACGAAAAGGAGGAAAGAAGGGAATCCAAACAGAGGGGAGAAAATGTGGAGAATTCAATTTTTAGAAGAATTACTCTTTAACATGATTAGCCCCAGAGCCTACGGAAATTTTGGAGTCCTCCCGGTCACCACTTGTTACAAGCCTACTAAGTATTGATAGTTTTATTGATCCCTTTGCAGTTGTGACGCTTCCTCTGATTAATAGACAAAGGAAGAGTTAGTTGGAATCCACGACCATGGTGTTAGAAGAATCGTTAGTGATGCTGTTTCTGGGTGGGTTAAAATACACCGACTGTGTGTGTGGGCTGGGGCTCAGGTGAAATGCCTCCCCCCAAGGACGCGGAGGGAAAGAGTTTTCCCACGTAGTCCCTCAGCGTGGAATTCTCCATGGCCTGAAAGGTAAGGCTGCTCCTTTGATCAGGGATTATCAGCTAGAAGCTGATTTACTCAGCATTAGGGGTGATTTAAGAGCATGTCCTTGAGTGGTGTAGAAAGGGACTTTGCCACTTAGAGAATCACGTGAGGTGAAAACCTCAAAGGATACATTAAAATGAAATGAAAACCCTGCTTTATAGCTTGGGGTTTCTCGCGTGTCAGAGTCAGTTTATAGCTTTCCCCAAGGTGGTTTTGTTACGTGGTTATGTAAAGTAAAATTTAATGAGATGACTGAGCTTGTAAAAATAACCTGTGTTTTCACTTATCGGAGGTTTTCAGGAAATGTCCATACAGGATGGTCCTAGTATAAGTGACCCTAATTTTATTATTTTTTTTTTAAATCTCTACTTTAAAAAAGAAAAGATAAAAACATCTGTGTGGCTCACTCAGGGCCTGAAGTTTAAATTCATTTCAGGAAAGCAACCTAGAGCAAACACAATGGCATGGAACTTTTGGCATTTGAGTATCTATATGCTTACATTTTGCTTTGTTGTTTTCTTAATTTCTCACTCTGCTGCCTAGGCTAGAGTGCGATGGTGTCAGCCTAGCTCACAACAACCTCAAACTCGGCTCAAGTGATCCTCCTGCCTCAGCCTCCTAGAGTGCTAGGATTACAGGCATGAGCCACCACATCTAACCAGTTTTCTTAATATTTATAACAATTATGACCTATTTCTTCAACTGAACCCATATTTTCTAATGTTAAACCAATTTATTCATAACTGTAAAATGTAGCAATAACATCAATAGATTAAGCATTCAGAATCTCTTGGATACTGTAAAACAAGGAATTAGTTAACCTTGCTGGAAATTTAATTTTATGATACTGAATGGCTTCAGTAAATTATTCTAGAATGGTATGGGCACAGGAAGGCTTTAGTGTGAAGGAAGTAAAAATCAAATTGAGGGGCAAGTATTTAATCTACAGAGTAAATCACATGGAGATATTTGTTAGTCTAAACCAATCCATTTTTTCCAAAGTGATTCTACAGCAAAGATTTCTGGCCCAAGGACATTCCCCTTTGGATATCCTCATACTTGGATGCTGATGGAGAATTGGGATCTTTCCTGTTAATCAAAAAATCTTTAAGTTTAGACACAAGGCCTATTTTCTTTTTTGAATTTTGGTGGTGAGTAATAAGCCATAAGAGAGTCCAAAATGTTATTAGCACAGGAAAGTTTGTTAGACAAATGGTTCCAGGGCAAAGATGCAGGCAGCATCTGTTTGGGGAAACATGTGAACAAGGACTAAAGGTTTCCAATAAAAATTGGAAATTGGTCTCCAAATATTTATTCTGAAAATAAACAACACACACACAGCCCCAGGGCACTTTCGATTTCATGCTGCTGTGGGCTTGCTCCTTCTTTCACCAGGTGTCGCATCAGCCGGATCTTACGAACCCCTCGGGCTTCCGCCCTCCTGGTTGGAGTGGGGGGCAGTGGCAAGCAGAGCTTGTCTAGGCTGGCGGCTTACATCTGCGGCCTGGAGGTCTTTCAGGTCACTCTCACCGAAGGCTACGGAATCCAGGAACTTCGGGTGAGTAACCGAGCCAGGCAGTACTTCTAACCCCTCTGTCTGGCGGATAAAGCGTGAGCTGACGGTGTGCCCATGTCAGCTGGGACTCCGGGTTTGGCCAAGGCCTCCCCATGGTTGTTGCGGGAGAGGGAGGCTCTTTAGAGCAGTTATTTACCTTTGGCTGTTTTGTCTTTATGATCAAATTATTAATAATAAATTCCTATAAATTTTTATAGGTTTAATAACATATACACCTGGCTCAGAAAATACTTTATTAAATACTTGATTACACAAATATGTTTTTACTTTGCATTAACCAAACCTGATACTCATCACTATTAGCGTTCCTATATGATAGATGGGGAAGATGCTTTCTTTGCAAGTACAAATAGAGTTTCTTCCACCTCAGATAAGAATATGACAATAAAATGAAACGAAAATAGGAAATTCAAGAAACTCACATATATTTTTAAAATTTTGCTTTTTAATCACGATAGTAGTTACAAAATGGTCCTGATAGTTTCTGGCAAGTGCTATTTTAAATTAGAAAAATCGCTTGCTTTTAATATTACTAACCAAATAAATAAACGAAAATAATTTTCAGTGCAATAGACAATTGTTGAAATGAATAGAAGACTTCCGTTTGCTGTGTTGCTTGACAAAGGCATCACTGAATTCATTTTCACTCTATTACAAGGGAGTTTTTCACCAGCAGCCTATTTTCATCCCTATGCTCCATTAAGCCACAAACATGACACTTATCATTATATGCCAGAAAAGGAGGTGATGTCTTGCTGTTTTCCCCTATACCTCAGTCCCGAGAGGAGAGAATATGTAAACAGAGGAAAGGCACCCCACACTGCTATGGCGTGATAGCTGCTCAGTTCTTCCCAACACTCACACACATCCTCCCAACGCCACATCAGCATCTTAGCAAAGCATGAATGATGGCCTCCTCTCCTTACAGGTAGATCTTGCCAATTTGTACATCAGAACTGGAGCCAAGAACATGCCCACTGTGTTCCTGCTGACAGATGCCCAGGTTCTAGATGAGAGCTTTCTTGTGCTGATTAATGACTTGCTGGCGTCAGGTGATTAAACCAACACATTCCTTGAAAGATCTTCCCCAATGACAAATTATCTGTAGTTTCAGTGAACTTTAAGGAGAGGTAATTTGTCTTTGAGATGTTTGCTGGGGAGTCTTTGGGGAGAAACCTATAAACCTAACTAATTTGAGGTGTGTTGCTTTCTTAGTCTGCTTAGGGATGAGAAGGCCTTCATGGAAGTAAATGTTATTCTTACATGTACGGGTTTAGCAGGTGTGTTCATCGTCTCTTGTCTTTATTGTGTGTCTTATAAATGCAAAAAGAAAAAAAGTGGCATTTCTGATTTCAAACTCTTATCATTTAAGCTGAATTTTGACTTATAAACCATTTTGAACATTAAAAATTCATGTCTAAAATTGAAATGGAAACAATCCTTCAGGACATCTCATTCTTTTGGGGGCAGGAGAAATCCCAGATCTGTTCAGTGATGAAGATGTGGACAAGATAATTTCTGGAATTCATAATGAAGTTCGTGGTCTGGGCATGGTGGACTCCAGAGAAAACTGTTGGAAATTTTTTCTGGCCAGGGTACGACTACAGCTCAAAGTAAGAAACACTTGCTTTATTTGCATATTATTTAAAACCTGCTGTTGGAACTATGATACGGTTCTATTTCAAGTTTCATGTTATGAGTTTGAATTTGAGTGATTCATTTGGAAAGGACATGGGCATTTTTACATGCCTGTGTCTGGGCTGTGCCTTGCTAAATTCTCCCATGATGCTGAGCTCCTACAAAGCATCGTGCTGAATGCGTGTGCAGTCCTCAGGTGAGCTGCACGTGATCTCTGTCCTCAAGGAGCTTACACTGTTATAGGAGGCAGGAGACATCACAAGTATAATTGTCATACAAGACCAATGTAAATAGTGCTGTGGGATTGCAGAGGCATGAAGCATCCTTCCCGACTGGAGCAGGACATCCTGGAGACAGAGATGTGCCTCATGTCAAGCATGGATCAGAATTCATGGGGACAGGAAATAGCACTTATGCAAGGGTGGACCGACTGTATAGTACATATTTGGACAAACCTGAGATACTTTGAAAGACCTGGAACGTAGATTACTTGTTGGAGAATGAGGTTGATAAGTCTGGAAAAGTTAATTGGGAAGAGGTTAGGAGTTTGTAAATCATGAAGTGAGCAGTGGGGAGAGTTTTGAATTAACGAAGTGACTGCGATATCAGTACTTCAGGGAAAGTAATTTAGAATGTTCTGAAGGATTAACCTAATGTTCTTCCGCATGGGCTGCTCTGTGCTTTAGTGCTGTGGTCCCCAACCCCTAGGCCGTGGACTGGCATGGATCTGTGGCCTGTTAGGGACCTGGCCACACAGCAGGAGGTGAGCGGCGGGCGAGCAAAGCTTCATCTGTGTTTACAGCTGCTCCCCATCGCTTGCATCACCTCCTGAGCTCCTCTCACCCACCCACTCCCAGTGTGTGGAAAACTTGTCCTCCATGAAACTGGTCCCTGATGCTAAAAAGGTTGGGGACCGCTGCTTTAGTGTATTACATAGAGATATAATATAACCAAATAACAGGATCAGTGAAGGTCAAGTGTCGTTAGACAATAAGAAACTTCAAACTCATGACAGGAAGGCAATTTAAGAATGCTGTCAGGGAAAATTCAGGCTTCCCAGTATAGAAATGATTAGTAACCTAGAAAAGCCACTACTTTGCTACTGCTTCTAGTATTGCTATGCCTGTCAGGTTAGTAACAGGCTCTGTGGTGGCTATAGAGCCAGGAGTATTTAAGAAAAGGAGGTGGGGGTGGCATTGGCCATAAATATACCTATGCTTGGAGGTTAAAGAGCAGAGTAATTAAGTTTCTGTAATATTCTACTATTTCAAATTTTGCAATAATCTTCCTGAGCAATTCTGGGCTGAGGTTAAAACTTGAAGTTTCAATTGCTCAAGGAGTTTTCTCCCTATCAAAAATGTGCCTAAGAATAGGTTTACCAAGTAGTAACAAGGCCAGAGATTTCTTCCTGTTCCAGTGTGGTATATTTGAATCAAACTTTCTTTGTGGAATGGGAAAGCAAGTACAATAATAAAATTTGAGGTAGTAATGTTATAAATCAGTGGTTCTCCAAAGCTGTTTCTCAAAGCTGCAGAATCTACATCACCTGGAAACATTTAAAAAATATAAATTCTTCAGCCCCACTCTAGACCTCCTGAATCAGGAGCTCTGTGGCTGGCACCTGGAAATCGGTTTTAGCAAGCCCTCCAGGTGATTTGGAGGCATGCCACAATTTGAGAGCCATTGTTATCTAATAAACGATGCTCAGATAAGCATCCTTTACATACATCATTTATGCTCAACTTTGCTTGCTTCTACAGGATCAATTCCTAGAAGGGGAACTGCTAGGTTCAATAGCTACAGTGAGTGGTTTTAAAACATCCCGGCAAATTATCTGATGCTCTTCTTACTGACGAGGGGGCATCTGGATCCCCTCTCCTTGAATCTGGTGGGCTTATGACTGTATGAGTGTGGCGGAGTGATGCTGAGTAATTCCTGAGGTTAAGCCATAAAGGGCCCAATTTTCTGTTGAATTCTGCATATTTTTGTTTATAAGACTTCTATGTATTTAAGCAATTAGCCTTATATATGTGTCTCATATTTTCCCTGTTCTTTTGTTTGTCTTTTAAATGTACGTATGGTGCATGTTTGTTTTTTGGTTTATAACTTTCATTTTTTTAAGGTTTATATATTAATCAGGGGTTTCTGGCAAGTTTAGAAAGATATTTTACTCTCCAAGATTATCTTCACTAGAAACAGTTGGAACTCAGTCGGGCTACAAATGAGAAAATCCAACGAACAGTTTCTTAAAGCCTCTTACACCAGTAAGTCCAGACTGGCTCTACAACATCCTTAGAGACCTTTTGGAAGAGATGCTCTTCGCATCCTCCCGTCTGCCAGCTTTCATCCCGAGGCCTTTGCCTACTGATCACAGACAGTAAGTTTATATTCCAGGCAGGAGGAAGGAAGGGGAACAGGACTCAAAAGCTATTTGTATCAGGAAACCTAAGCTTCCCCTCAAAACCCTAAGCTGATGTCTTACTGGCCACAACTGCCTCAAGCTCCCAGACAGTCTAGGGGGGTGGGGGTGGTAGAAGGGGTATGAATATTTGATTTTGACACATTGCCTTTATGAGTAAAATTGGAAATGGATTTTGGAATAGTTTAAAAAGCAATAATATCAGTTATTTCAGTGACTATATGCTTTTAGGGTCTACGTTTAAAACTTTGCTACCTCCAGAATATATTTCTTATTATATACAGTAAAGAGTGAGCTGAGAGGTTGCAGATTATTTTGCCAAAAAAGCTATCTTTTTTTCTCAACACCACGTATTTCTCTCTTACCGATTTCAAGTGCCACCTTTAGTTGGGTCTATTTACAAATTTTCTCTTCTCTTTTCTAGTTAAATCTCTCTACTACTGATCTGAGCATTGCACTGTATAAATTAGTAAAGCTTTATTATATGTTTTAATTTCTGGTTGCTCTTTCTTATCAAATTTTTCCTAGTCTCAGGTATTTATATGTCTAGATAAGCATTAGGATCATTTTGTCAAATTCTAAGCACTCTCCATTTTAATATTGATTGAAATCATGCCGAACGCTTATTTTATATTAGGGAGAATTTAATCTTTATGATATTAAAGTCTTATCACTTTTATAGAAGGAGTATTTCTTTCATAAAGTTTCGTAAGGGCATATTATTTTTACATAGGAGGGATATTGATTTTTAACTTCATAACCAGCTACATTACTGCCTTCCTTACAGTTTTTAGTAGTTGATCGATATCATATAACTTGTAGGTGAAGATATTTTGTCTTTCCTACTATTCTATGTTGTCTATTCTCATCCCTCATTGCACTGGTAGATACTGCAGAACGATGTTAAATAATAATGGTGACAGTAGGAATTTTGTCTTGATTGTTACTTTAATGGGGATGTTTCTGATGTTTTCACTGTTATGTCTTATGTTGGCTTTTGTTCAGGATATATATCTTGTCAAAGAAGTACCTACCTAGTAAATTCCTTTTCAGCATCTATTGAGATAATTATATGGTTTTCTCCTTGGACTTACTAATATTCATATAACATAAAATGATATACAGAAGTTTTACATTTTTATATTTTTACATCCATCAGTCTTTTCCTTCATGTGTTTTCTTTGAATCTGTGTGTGTAGGTAGGCCTTACTGAAACTGAGATTAGTTTTATATTCATGTCTATTGTTTAATCCTTTTTATAGTCTCATTTTTATTATTTAACTCAGTACAAGCTGGAATTTATTTGGGAGTTAGATATGGATTGTCTTTCCCCATTGTCATGGATCTATTAATTGAATAGTCTATCTCTTCCCTACTAAAATGAGTAGGAGGTTGTTTTATTTTGTTTTGTTTTTAATGCTAAGGAGGAATAGAATGTCTCCGTCAGAAGGAATCCCACTTCTGACCCATTTTGGCCTTGTCTCTTAGTTTGATACATCATGAGAAAGGTTAACGGTCAGTGCCATGACCTCTTTACCCTGAGGGAGCACTATTATGGCAAAAAACGGGTTGTCCTTTAGCCTGAAAATGGCAGCTTCTTTCTTTTCAGTTTGTATATATTACCCCCAAATCCTTGGAATTTTAAAATAGAATTTCAAATTACTCTGTTAGTTTCAGACATCATGCTATTCACCAGCGTGTACTGAAGACTGAGAATTTCTGATGAGCCCATATCTCCTTTGTATATGTTCCAAGCTGGGCAATGTGGGAAGCTAAATGTGTTAGAGGAGTTGGTGAGCACACCTGGCAGGTCAGGCTAAATGATGTGAAGTTGCCACCCCATTACCCATGCTCACCACCCAGAGTCGGTTCCCATTTGGAATGCAGGGACAGAACCTGTTGGCATGCAAAATGTGACCTCTGAATCCCACAGGGCAGTTCCCATTAACGATGATCAGATGTGTGTCCTTGGATTGCCTCAAACAAGCTGATGAATAACAATGCCAAATGCCTTCTCTCCTTCGTTTGTGTATGTGCATCTTTTCCTACGCAGTTCCTATCTTACAACTAGAGCATATAGCACTTTCATCTTGTCTCCTGTGGACTTTAGTTAACTGAATATCTTTTTTCTTGTTTTCCTTCCTGGCCATCTGATGCTATAGGGCAAAGGACACTTGATTTATGTAGCAGCACCTGATTCTTTCCCAAGACTTTAGCTATCTGTCTGCCTCAATATATATCTTTTTATTTAGATA